TGTTTTATTCACTGACAACTGTTTTGGCCAAGGCTATGACGGGAGAAACGTGCAATGTTCACTGATTTTCATAAAAAAATGAAAGAAATTCAATCCTTCACCGCAATAGGATATTTGGCTGTTCAAAAACTTACAAGTCCATATTACAAAACGATGGCAGTGTATTTCGGTGGTATTCAAGTACGGATGAAACGTCGGATCGACCCAAAAAGGCATCTCATCGTACAGTGCTTCATAGCTAGGATCGTACATGGTGACATGTGTGCCGTTATTTCCGGATATCCAGATGAAGCCCATACCGCGAATATGAATAAGACCGGTTAGCATCGGCACACGTACCTTGTCAAATCCGTTTTCTTTCAAGTATTCTTAAATGCTCAAGAAAATTATCGAATTTTCCATTATCTTATCCTAGTTTGTACATCTGGGGATAGATACTTTGCCGGAGAAGTAAAAGATTTACAGAAAGCAGTCAATCACAGGGCCAAATAGTATGCAATAAAAAGATTGAGTATTAGGTGGCTGGATATGGGAAACTTAAATAGAAGGTCTAATGGAAGTTTCTTCTTCTCTGTTCTCTCTTGCACTCATCTCTCCCTCTGGTTGTTTCCACTTTTTTAACTCAATTTTTATCTAATATTAATGCTAAGATACTTATTAGGCTTAAGAACAGTAAATGCCGTCTGAAAAATAGATATTCGTTATCTGTGAAGTAATTAGAAATATCAAGAATTGAAACATATAACATATTTAGTTAATATTAAAACATTCCGGTTCATTAAGTTGTGCAAATTTTAACTCAGTGCCATAACTGGATCTCCAACAGCTGTGGCGTAAAATGCCATTATGCAAAAAAATGAAAGAAACTAGAGGTTAATAAAACAAGGGTAAAACATATCTCTAGGAGGATGAAAGTGTGGACACGAAAGATAACTGAGTTCAATTTCAAACTGAAAAAAGTAACAAAACCAGGCGAGAGGTGGTTGCTTTGTTACTACTTTGCTTGTTAATTTCTGCTACTAGCAAATAGCTTATTACTTTCAGCATAACTTCTCAGTTCGAAAATCTGATCGCGATGACGTATTCGTGCAGCGACCGTTCGATGACCCGCGGTTTGCCTGCACATTTTATTAACCAAATTATACGGCAACGATTCCTGTATAATGTGCAAATTTTCCATTTCGGATTAACAAAATCACCAAATACAATCCGAAGTGCTGCTGTGAAACAATGATACCAAGATGCAAGTCACAAAAAAAAAATATCATTGGCGAAGCGCACCGAGCGGGCCCGTGCGATCATGCGTTTTTGCAGTATTTCATGCTGTAATGAGATCGCTCAGAAACCCAGCAGCTGGAAATGTGTGGCATACTGTTCCTTGAAGTCCAATAAGTTAATTGTCTACGCCGTAGTTGGACAGAGAATATCCCCTTAAAATTTCGGCCTCCCAGCTTTCCTGGTCCCAGAGTAAGCCATTTTGTCTCCGAAAAGTTCCACGGGGCCGTAAGTAAGAACCACGCATACCGAGAGACTAAATTTGATAAGTTTAAGTCGCACTTGTGCTGGGAACATTCCCTGAAAATTCCAGCCTCCCAGCTTCCCTGGTCCCCGAGTTAGCAATTCTTCCCGCCAAAAACTTTCGCGGGCTGTGCATGAGAAACACGCATACCTGAGGACTAAATTTGATATTTTTGGGGTCGTCACAATATGCCTTTTTTGCAGTTTGCATATGAACAAAAACGCATAACTATTTCTGCTCGTTATACCCCAGTCTTTCATAAGGTTATCTTCATCAGGCATTCATCACTTGCGAATATCACGTTTTTAGGACTTGCTCCAAAAACTTCACCAACTTCCAGCAATTCTTAGGAACACGAGCAAAACGCTGTGTCCCCTTGCATCCTTCTTTTTCCTGGATCCTCTTAACTTTGGTGCTTCCTTCCCTCCTTCTCCCTCGCCTCTCCTCCAAGCTTTCCGTTTACTTCCGCCTCTTTCCTCCTTCACCCTCCCAGGAGAAATTTGTAAGTTTCCGGCTAGAAAAAAATTTTTTTTTGAAAAATTCCTTGTTTTATTGCAAAGAAACGTTATCTATTGAAAACGTAAATTTAGACTTATCCTGTAAAAAATCTGGATTTTTTTACGTCTGAATTGTTTTTAGTGAGAAAATTTGTTTTAGAAAACATACAATACGCCGATGATGCGTAAGTACTGGTATATAGCAAACAGTTTCATCATCCTGTTCCCACAGATAATGTTTGCATTTCCTGGATTTCGTGGCTGAAATCTTTTTTAGCAAACAGCATATTTTACAAGTTGAATGCTTCTGTTGGAAGTCCAGCAAATTTTTCGGGAGGTAGAAGGAATGACAGGATCGCCAGAAAGCTAGCTACTAGGCAATGAAGCAATGGTTAAAACAATCTGAAATGAAGGAAAAAAATGGCACGACTGTCGGCTACATTGTTTGATATATCAGTAGTGAACAAACAGCTGTTTCAAGTGGCGAGTATTCTTTTTTACAGGACAAAAACGACTTTCAGAATGAATAGACTGATCGAGCACATGATGGAGGTCGCGAATGACCACTGGTCAAAAGTATGATGTTGTAGGAAGCTCTGGTCACGCGATGTTTGGAGTGCGATTACCATTATCAATATCCTTGGGCTGCAAGCCTAACTTGTGTATTTTTTGACTGTGTTTAGAAAATTAAAAAAGGAAAAGCAACATCCCTCGATAACTGACTCTTTGTGAAATGCGGGAGGCAATCGGAAATTGTGTAAGTGTTTTTTTCTAATTCAGCTTGTGAAATACCATTTTTTTTTGAGGCAGTCCGTGGAAAATGCGAGCGATATGGGATCTCTGGCCTAAATCTCTTTTAACCGGCGTTTGGGCTGTTTTTAAAAAGATTACTCTTTATGTGGAACAGTCTACATTTACTTCTATAATAATAAAGAGTTTGCAGCAATTTTTCGAGTTTCAAAGCTTTTTCGAGCAAATAAATTTACCTCACTGGTAAATGAGGGTGCGGATCACAGTCATCATTCGCCTACGAGTTAAAAATTTTATTATCACCTGGTGGTGCTGTAGTTCTCACTTGTTGAGTGAGACTAGCGATCCAGTCGCTTCGATTCATACTGACCAGATGGTCAGTTACGTTTACATCACTTGCATTGTTTGCGTCTGTGTCGTTTTTATCAATTACGTTAATTACGTTTCTATCGCTTGTATCATTTATTGCTACCCCAGGAACTGCCTTTTTCAGTACTGGTTCCATCAGTCCATCGCCTTTTTTTGACGTTGCAATGTAGTCCTGAAAAAAAACCCGGAAAATTCTGTCAAAAAAACCCAGAAAATTTTGTAATCCTAGAAGTTAAGGGCTCAAAAAAGAAGCGTGAAAACGTGCTGCGCCTATGGTGCAAAAATTAAGTTAAAAGCGTTCAAAATATTCATTAACTATTATTTTAGTGAAAAAATGTAAAAAAACGTCAAAATATATCAAAAATGTCAAAACATATACTATTGCATTTACGACAAACATATTAAGAGATGTTCAAAATATTTGATAAGTATTATTTTAGCAAAAAAAAAATTGTAAAATATTATAGCATAATGGGGAAAGAATTCAAAAAACAAATCATGATTTCGAGGAAGACAAAAATTTATCATTATTTCTTTAGAAACGATGGCAATTGTTCATTTTCCTTTATGATATGCTACTGCTTAAAAACAAACACTCACCACGGCATAGTAACAAACGCGAATATACAGTGGAATCTTGGCTTTGCATTCAACAGCTTCTAGTGTTGCTCCTTTTCCTTAAAATTTGAGGAAGCGTCATTCTCAAGTATATTTAATATCGCTCGGTCGACCTAACAGTATGGTTATCCTATGTTAGTGATGTTACTGGAATAGTTCTATAAATCATGTGCGGCTGTGGCGATGCACGTAGAGATGTGAAATCAAATGATTTGGTCAAACACAGATTTAAACTGAAAAGATTTTCTATTTTTTCATTTATAATTTTCTCCTATATTCCAAAGCAGGAGCACTCAGATGCTGGCCTTCAAACTTTTCAGTTGGCAATTTTTTCAGTTGTTCTGACCAGTTTTAGCGGGAAAATTGCTAACTCGGAAACGAGAAAAGCTGGAAGGCTGGAATTTTAAGACAATGCTCCCCCACTCATGTGCGATTGAAAGGCTTCAAATTCAACTCTTCTGCTGGGGCTTTTCGCACTCTAAATTTTTGGAAGAAAAAACTACGCTAATTTTCTTCTTTTCTCAAAAAAAAAAAAAAAAACGGAATGCCTAAGTTTTGGTTTCGCGACAAACATTGCAGTTGAACAGAAATATTACCTCCATTATTTCTTAGGAAAAATTTGTAGCATTGGTTTTTGGCATCGTATTTTTTGATGAGTGCTTCGATCGATTTGCTAAACTGCATCGCAGTACCGGACCAAAAATATCCACGACTCTGCTCGAACGTGAGCGCTGTTGAGGCTACGGCACTGTGCAACTTGTACTCATTGTAATTCTTCTCCAAATGTAAATTTAATTCTCTAACA